TAGTTTGTAGATTGGCATCTATAAACTAGGTCCAGGCAAAATTCTATTTTTTTGGTCTTGGTTGACACTTTTCAGGAAACACCCATATGCAGAATGTGGATGCGAACTTCTTCAGCTTGCATTTCTATGTTTATTTCATTTATCAGTTTAAGTACATAAGGTAACAAGTAACAAGTAAGAAAGTCTAAGTTCGGGCGGAGCCGAACATTAAATACCCGGCGCAAGTATTAAATATATGTTTTTTCACCTTTGCGAAACCTTCCGCTAGATGGTAAGCCGGGGTGTATCAATTTTGAGTAAATTAGCGTCCTTAAATTTCGTCATATGAAAAGCGGCCGTAATTTTAGTCCGATTTCAATAATTTTCAACGTTTTTCTTTTATGTGGCAAGAACAATAACCATACCGAGTTTGGTACAAATTGGTAGAACAGTTACCGATATACATATATGTGATCATAAGTGGGCGGTGCCACGCCCATTTTCCAAAATTTTACCATAAACGTATTTCTTGGTAAAGAATTGTTGCAAGCATCAATTTTGAATAAATAAGCTTTAATATTTACTGATTCATCGAAAATTTTGTATTTCTCTAAATTACCGTTATATGGGATGTGGGCGTGGTTATTGTCCGATTTTTTAAATTTTCAGCCATTACAAGTAGGCGTGGCTACGCCCATTTTCCAAAAATTTATAATATTCTTATTTTTCGTCTGAAAATTATTGTAAATATCAATTTTGAGTGAATTATCTACAGTAGTTCCTAAAATATCTCAGTTTTCGTATTTCTGGAAATTACCGTTATATGGGAAGTGGGCGTGGTTACAGTCCGATTTCGCCCATTTTCAACACCAACCTACCTTGGATTAACGAAAAGCCATATACCAAATTTCGTTGCGATATCTCAATGTTTGCTCGAGTTATCGTGTACACGGACGGACGGACAGACGGATAGACGGACAGACGGACAGACGGACGGACAGACAGACACGGCTTAATCGATTTCTCTATTCATTCTGAGCATTTATGTATACATTTGTCTATATCTATCTCGATTCGTTTTGGCTGTTACAAACAACCGTTATGTGAACAAAATTAATATACCCTTGTGCACAAGTGTATTTTGTTTCGTCGAAATTCGAGTTTTCATGTAGAAACATAAAACTTAATTACATTGCTGATATTTTTAAAGCACAATATATAAAATCCACGGCAATTTTGACGAGTAAAAAAGCAGTACAAAATTGTTTTCTTTGCGTTCATTGTGGCATACCTTTTGCGTCTGGCGCTTCGCTGGCAAAGTTATAAATGTCACGCAAAGCTACAAAGTTTTATCTGGCATCAGCTTAATAGGGTCGATTAGTTGCATTGAGTTGCGCAAAAATAGTGCCGAAAATCAATCGATTGTGCTTAACGTACCGGCTGCTTCCGAAAGGGCCAAAAATGGCACAATGCACATTTTCCATCACTGCTTGCAACTACTTTATAAAATCTGAAAAATTAATTGCGAGCAGTATATTGATTAAAGAGTAGTATGACATTAGTCAGACGATCGCCCGCACCAAAGCTCGAAAAAACAAAATTTCGAATAAAATATATTACCTAAACGAGAAATAAAAAAAAAATTTTTATTTTTTATTTTTTTTTAAATCTTTAATCGTAACCATTTTTTAGGCTTGCACAAGATTATTTATAGAATAAGAAATCGCGTAGAATTTTTCGTCAACGTGAAAAACTAAAACAATGGGTATGTAGATACTATCAGGCCGATTATGAACAGGAACTCCCTGGGAGTTTTCTCTCTTTTCCCTTTCCTCCTATCATGAATAAAAATTCCCTGCGGATTTTGTATATTATATGGCGGAGTTGAGCTATCAAAAAGTATCAAACGGCTCTTGCGAAGTTCGAATTTTCTCCTTCCGAATTTTCGGGGAAAATGCTCCTTCCTGGGAGTTAATTATTGGAGGATTTCTTTCTCTAACGTTATTTGACAAGTTGATCCCATTCGAACGCCGACCCACCCCCGAAATAAAATCCTGTATCCTCCACTTTAGGCACTTACATACAGAGCAAGTTAAATAAAAGCTTGTAAAAAGAGCAATCTATATACCTATTTCTAAAAGGTATTTTTCTGTTACCAAACGATACCTCCTTTAATATTTCATAAAATTTAATGAATGATGTCTCATTTTGAAGGAGAGAAGCTCACGTACATGCGAAAAATTAAAAAGCTGAAAATACTGTATCCGGTCAATAAAGCGCCATATCTTCCATAATACTCCATCAAATTGAATGATTAAAACACCATTTTGAATTATAGCTTCACCGGTTGAGTTAAAAAAAATAACAACTATTTAATAGCGTTGCCACCTGCTTAAAATTTTATTGACTTAAATATATGTCGAGTAAAATATGCTTTGCATTGCATTTATGGAATAAAAGGCATTTAAATGCACTTTTAACCAGAAATAATAATTTTTAAGAGGGTTGTCAACTAAAAAATTTTAATTTCTATATATATGTATGTACATATAAAACAAAGTTGCTTCCGTAATACCGAGCATAGCTCTATAATGGATTGTCCTATTTGAGCTATTTTTTTGTTGTGGTTACCTCTGCCCAAGGAAAATTAAAAAAGTTCCGAATAGAAAATTCCGAAAAATTGATTTTCCATGATTTTATACACCAAAATTTTTTAATTTCTTTAATTTTGATCGTAATATTATAATTTAAATGGCTGCCCAGGTACAAAATTGTATCAATGCTAAACAATTATGTAGCTTAGGTTACGTTAGAGAGTGTTATAAATTATTGCTGGTCCCATTTACAGTTGCCAACTTGAAAACTTTATGGTGGAATTTTGATTAAAAATATAAAGCCAGCGTTGTCATGACTTTCATTTTCCTCGAACCAGTTCAATTTTTGTTTCCGTGTATTCACTACGGGCGGGTGAAAAAATTTCGGGCTAATTTGTTTTCGGGCAAAACCCACAATAGAATGTCTGAATTTGCAAATTTGGTTCGATTGCTTCAAAGATAGTTTTAATTCTTCGACATTGTACGAAAGTGTCCGTAAACTATTCGCCGATCTGAATATAAAACATTGGCTTGGCAAATTAAAAAGATTGGCGACTAGCACTGCACACCAAAATCCTCAGCAACGCGCCCAATTTAATGAACAGCTTTGAGTGCATGCGTCGCAAATTCATACAGGACGACCTCAGATGAACCAGCTCCTTAACAACTGAAACAAAAGCAAAGTCCCGAGCTGCTTCGTAAAGAGAGAATAAGTACCGTAAATGTCCAATTACTTCGACATGATTGAGTTCTGCAGGGGCTAAAGTCAAATTACAACAGTTAACTGAACCACCAGCTTATAACCCGGAGCTCATAACTTTATGGCGAATTACCAGAATAAGGACAATTCTTGATGAATGCCCACAAATGCAATGATTAGGCAGTTAAAGGATTGCATATCAAATTAGTCTATGCATACTGGATTTATGTGGACCAACGATACTCGCTCATTATGAACTTGCGACCAACTATGCTGTAAAGATTCAAGAGAAGGAAGTTATTTAGTAATTTATTTCGTTAGCAACTCTCATATCGGATTTGATTGATATGAAACGCCAGATCATTGGAAAATTGCAAGAACTTCGTCACGGACACAACGCTTTGGTTAGGTTATTTAAAATGGTGATGGAAGATATGCCTTCTGACGACCAAAAAAACCATAATTAGAGCAGATAAATGTGCCAATGGAAGTCGTTAAGTGAATAGTTGGTGAAAGTGTTGTACCAAAATGTTCCAATAAAAATTTAATTTTGGGCGAGACGAAGTTCGCCAGGTACGCTAGTATGTTTAATTTCAAAACGTTTACATAAATAACCATAATAAACGTGCTTATTACGTTAACTCCATTACCTGTATAGGGCTGTTCAGAATCTTGTGCATATGCTCTTGCGTTTGCATATTCGTCTTATTTGAAAATTCACGACAATAAAAGGCACACGGTTGCCATGGAAATAAGCTCAAAATCTGCAAATGCAATTTCAAACAGCCCTTATATAATTTCCTTCAATAACAACGTCTTTTACGAATGTTGAAAGTTGTTGCCTTTCAAACCAGTCGATATCATATTGTCCGTCTATTTCCTGCCAACCATTTTCCACAGCTGCCTTTGTTCAACCCAAGGTTCAACCCACTTTCGGTCGAAACCGGATGTCTGTAATACGACTAAAAGATAGAGCATCCCCGACTTGATCATTCACGTTCTTGCGTTTTCCAATAAAAACATTCTTCCCCATTTTAGAAGGGGAGGACGGGTGGTCTAGGACCAGAGCTGGGTGATAAGGATTTATTACTAAACGATTAGGATTGCAGTAATCCCAACAAGCTAAAAAAAAGTAGATTACGATTACAGTAGTCCTTCATCGAATGAAAGAGATTTTGTACAACTTCAACGCGTGACTGACACGCTCGTTTACATGATTTGAGTGACTGATTAATGTCATACTACTTTTTAATCAATATACTGCTCGCAATTAATTTTTCAGATTTTTTAAAGTAGTTGCAAGATCTAGAGTTTCTGTACAAAATTTAAGTCAGCACTAAGTCAGTCCCGCGCCAAACGCTAACGAATTAGATTGACTAGCGGAAGCTATTTCTCTACACTTCTAATATGACAAAATATCAAAAATTCAGTATTTATAAAATGCTTGCAATGCCTTCTCGCTCGATCTCGGGGTACTAGATACCAGGATGCATAAAAACTAAAGCCAGGCATATGTTTGTTTTTTAAAAGCTATGTACATATCGGCACCTAAGGGTTAAAAGGTGCCAAGTCCATCTTTGAATCGATATAGTTTCGTGTTAACTCCCATTATGAAGAAAAAAGCAATTGACTTGGCACCTTTTCACCTTTAGGTACCGATATGTATGTATGTATGTTACTCTAGAAAAGTAGGTATATATACTACATCCAAATAAGCGAGTACTAACTGTTGCTGCGAAGCGTGATTAGCCAAAATTTGAGCTGTCAACTGTTGATGGAACACGAGTGGATCTATGAAGTTGAAGTCGGGCGCATAATTGTAGTCGTAGTCATTAAAGCCACCATCATAGAACCCGGCATTGCCTCCGTACCCTCCAGCACTGCCACCAGCGTAGCTGCCAGCACTCCCGCCAGCATAATCAGTGGCATATCGCTTGTGTTGACGCGCTAATGGAATAAAATATTTTAATTTGTTCTGAGGTCTGCTTTTCGATCTAACTTGTGTACCTCCTTCAGAGTTCATCACTAAGACCGCGACAATACAAACCAACAAAACGTTCCACATATCGAACGAGAGTTACCTATGGAAAAGAACACAATTTTAAATATGAATTAGTTTGAAAGCTTTCAATAAAATACCCGATAGAAAGCATTAAAGAAATAGTTTATCTATAAACGAAATTAACTTTCTCAAGTAAAAAATTTGTCAAGGAAATGGAAAGTAACATTAAATCCCAGTAACTGTGGCTCAACTTTACTCCATTCATACTCTTGCTTGCACTTTAGCGCACATGGGCTCAATTCTAGAATGCGCTGAGCCAAATAAGAGCTTTAGTATGACACCACCTTGGCTAAGAAAGAATGTCCACAATATGGAGTGATCTCCCGTCTATTATTGTAAATCGTAGAAGACGAACTATCAGTATTCGGTTTGACTCCTTACTTGAGTGTATTAAAAGTATGAAGATCTGTATATTAACAATGTTGGACAATGTCCAACATTTGTCACTAGAACCAGGCAGGAAGTCCTTGACCTGACTCTCAGTAACTATCTGGGTAATAATCTGATAGGACAATGGTGGGTGTCTTCGGAACCTTCCTTGTCCGACCACAGGATTATCTGCTTCCGGCTGGGAGTACAGGCCAGAGCAGTGACTCCAAAGAGGAACCCAAGAAACACCAATTGGGATAATTATAGCAAATTACTAGATTTTAACCTACCCGGGTTAGAGAGGGACCACAAAAAAGGTGGCTGTATGGCATTGGAGCATAAAGTTAATAGGCTAACAGATATAATGACTGATGCCTTTAACTATCGCTGCCCTGAGACCCAACCAAGAGGGAAGGGGAGAACAGTGTGGTGGTCTCGGGAACTCTCATCCCTTCGGAAAGACATGCGCAGGCTGTTCAATAAGGCTAAGCGCACGGGATGCTGGGCAGAGTATGCGCCTAGTCTAACAAAGTACAGCAAAGAAATTAGGAAGGCGAAGAGGGAAAGTTTCAGAACCTTCTGTGAAGGCATTTGGAATACCCCGGCCGCCGCGAGGTTACATAAGGCTATATCCAAAGGAACTATCGAGTCGAAGCTTGCGCTTAAGCTTGCAGATGGCACCTACACCAACAGTAGGGAGGAGAGGGCAACTGCCTTGATGCTGGCACACTTCCCGGAGGCTTCTAACCTGATGGCGGAGCTGGAGGTCCAGCAAACTAGGCCGCGACCATCTGATTAGAGACTGGCGAGAAGTATCTTCACTCAGGCTTCAGTCGGATGGGCGCTGGCCTCGTTTGAGCGCTACAAGGCTCCAGGGCTAGATGGCATCCGGCCAGTAGTGTTACAGCAGGGCAGTGAGAGCGTAATGCCGCATCTTGTGGACATAATGAGAAGCAGTCTTGCCGAAACGTAGGTCCCACAGATGTGGCGAAGGGCGCGAGTAATCTTCATCCCGAAAGTGGGTAAAAGAGACTACTCGCTAGCGAAGTCGTTTAGAACAATAAGCTTAACCTCCTTTGTGTTAAAAGCAATGGAGAAGATTATAGATAACCACATCAGGTCTACCATTCTGAGGAATATACCCCTGCACACCTGTCAGCATGCATACAGGGCTGGAAGGTCCACGGATACAGCCCTATACCAGCTGACAACCGAGATTCACTCTGGAGTGCGCAGGGCACTGGAGAGGAGAAACGTGGAGCCAGCGATCTGCTTCCCAAAGTGTCGCAGTTTTGGTGTGTTCACCCTTTATTTCTACGATTCGTAGCAAAATCCGAATACGAAAGAGTTGCAGAATAGGGGTGTTAGTCTTGTACCTGAGGTGGTACAGTTTCTGCGCTTGTGACAATTTTGGGTGATTTATGTATACGGCTGTAAACATGTCCCGGAAGGACGGCCATTGTTCATAACCCCCATGGAAAGTTTCCGTGTCACATGCTGGCATTTTGAGATATATGCCTGAGCTTTGCTCTTGAATTTGGCTTACTTCTA